GGAGGGGCGGGTCCCGACTCCTCCGCTGCCTCTTTCTCTCCCTCCCTGTTCCTCCCCTTCCTCGTCGCGGTTCTCCTCCCCCAGTTCTCTTCTTCCGCTCCGGCCTCCTCTCTCCCTCGCTTTCTCCTCCCACTCCGACTCTCTCCTGCCCTTCTTTTTCCCGTTCCCCTCTGCTTGCCGGGATCGGAATTCTGCCCCGACCTGCTTGTCCCGGGAGCCGCGGCGGCTCCCTGCCGGAGCTTCCAGGACCGCGGGACCTGCGGGTACGATGCCCACGTTTTCGTCTGTGCTAGTTTGAGGTTTTACCTGGCTACAGTGTCCCTGTAATCTTGTGTCCTAAAATGCCCAACCCCTGAACCTTCACGCCGTATGTAGACAGGAGAAAGGGAAAGATTTTAAATAATTGAGTATTGGCCTTCTTATCTATCTCCCGCTGTGAACCTAGGGTTCACCTGCGTAGTGTACAGATATCTCGTGGGTACTCAGGAGCTATCGCCAGGTAGGGGGGTTACAGGGCTTATGCCCGCTCTTCATCTCCTTATTCGTTGCCTATCAGGGCTGCAGGCTTTCTTGATCTTACAAGTCCAGAACCTTAATTTAGAAATCGTTTTGCATCCTAAGCTAATTACTCCAAGGCTGGCAGGTGCAAAGAACAGCCAGAACATTTGTAAATTACCAAGTAAAACTACTTGTGAAAGAGTAGCTGGCGTGGCTGTGCAAAGGACGCACGTGGGGATGGACCGTCTAATCACTCGTTGAATATTTATTAGGTCTCTTGAGGATGCTAAACCACATAAGGAAAACAACTGTCTCCCAGCATTTCATTACGGTTTTATTTTATGGCCAGAGTCACTTATGGTCACTGAATGACTCGGTGAGCTAACGACACTGAGAAAGTTTAATTTCTCAAGAAATGTTTCAGAAGAAGAAAACTTTTCTAAGATATATAATAATTTAGCGTGTATCACATAAACCACATGGACCACCATTTTTTTTTTGAGATTGCCTCATTGGGATGCTTTATAAGAATAGCTTTTATATTTTAACAAGTGTGAGCTATTGCCTGGCTATTAACGGAGCGTGTGTTGGCTGACCTGCTCCAATGCTGTTTATGCTTCAAGAGACTGCACCTGCTTGATGATAGTGTGTCTAGTCTGAAATTTCACCACTCATGGCGGTCTTTCCAGGCTACTGACGCAGAAAAAGGAAGGAGGAAGAGAGGAATGAAGGGCAGAGCATGCTGGGAAAGTAGATCAAATTGTCCACCAAACACTCCAAACATCTTGAGCTATGGTTATTACTCAATATTGTAAATTAAATGGAGCACAATGGAGTGAAACCAGTCTTTCCCCCTCTAGGGCCATCTTTATCTACGAGAGATAGAAATCCTCACACATTTTATGAAGACGAGCGTGTGTCCTTGAGGCATGATGTAAGAGAGTTGGAGGGTGGGGTTGCTGATGAATCTCTGAACAAGGTAATAAGAAAGGCAAGAACCACATGGGTCGGGTGGCAGCCTAGTCACCTCTTGGTACTGGGTGGAATGCCTGCTCTAAGTTGCCGGGAGATCAGCTGGAGATAAAATGTCTCTTTCCTTTTAGGTTATGGCTTTGCTTTCTTGCCTCAGTTACTGTGTTCCTCCTGGATATGGACCGACTAGAAGGCAGTTGACTGGTAGTTGAGCTGGCCATGTATACATCAGTTGCCTACATGGTAGCTCAGGTGACAGGGAGGGGGTACACTTGCAGTGGGGAAGTACCAAGCTGTATCATGTATGGCAAGAGTGTGGTTTGTCTCACATGGGTTTGTATGCTCCAAGTTTGGCTCCTAGCGGGGTGATGCTGAGAAGTAGTTGGACCTTTAAAATTTTAAGGCATAGTAGAAGGTGGTTGTTAGGGCTTATATCTAAATGTACCGCCCCCAAAGGCTCATAGGTGGGGTTTGGAGAAATGGTTGGATCATGCGGGTGTGATACTTATCAGGGGATTAGTCTACTGGTGAGTTCATAGTGAAAGGTGATTAGGAAGATGAAGTCTGGTTGGAGGATGCAGGTTGCTGGAGCTGTAGCCTGGAAGAATATACCAGCCTCACACTTCCCTTGATCTCTCCGTTTTGCAGCCTTGCCATGAGCAAGGCTCATCTTCCATGCCCCTCTGCCACGCCACCCTGTTTGGAGCCAGCCAACTGTGGGCTGAAACCTCTACAAACTGTGAACCAAAATAAACCTTTCCTGCTTTAAATTGTGGGTGTCTGGTATTGTATCCCAGTGATGTGAAAGTAACTAAGACAGGGATTAAAACATGTTGATGGGCACTGGTCAGAATCACTCTCAAAATACCAGGCTCTGATCTCTGGTCTACAGCTTATATGAGATAAGCAAGCAGGAGGTACAGAAGCAGAATGGCTTGTCCATTGGGGATTGGTTTCTACAATGTGCATCACAGTCACCAGCCATTTCTAAGAGACAGGAGCAACCAGATCTGAAACAGGAATTTTTACCTGGGCAACTAAGAAATTAAAGTATACTAGCTGGGAGCAGAGGAGGTATTTTCTGTTACACCATGTTTTTGTTTGCCATTACAGTGGGGCACAACCTTGAAGAAGGATTAGTGTACAAAATCTGTGTCCTTTCCTGCTTTTCTACCATGTTGTGATGCAACCAGAAGGTTCTCACCAGGGTTGAACAGATAGGATCACTGGATCTTGGACTTTCAGCCTTCAAAATTGTCAGCCAAACAAACCTTTATTTTAATAAAATGCTTGGCCTCATGTATTTTACTACAGCAAGAAAAAACAGACTGAAACAGAAGTAGGCAAGCTAATTCAAAAATGCAAATAAAAAACATTTAGGAGTAACTATCCTATCAGATATTAATCAAGCAGAAAAAGAATAAGAAACCCAGTAAAAAAAATAGAGGTAAATGTTAGAAACAGCTCTCAGAACAGGAAATACAATTAGTTAAAACATAAGATCCTCTACCTATTTCATAATAATTAATACTGTGCTAATATCCCACTGTGAACTAAGAGTTGGGCATAGATTAAAAGTGTGAGGAACACACTTTTATTAAGAGGATGTCAAAGCAAATAGTTTCATATATTTATCATTGATGAGATTAAATTGCCATGAACATGATAAAAAGCAGTTTGGCAATAGCTATTGGAATTTAGAATACTTCAACCTAGCAATTTTGCTTCTAGAAATGCATCTTAAGTGTGTTTCTGAACATGTGCAAAAATGCACCTGTATAGAGGCAGAATTGTTTCTAACAGCAAATGACTGTTAAATGTCTAGCCATAAGAGGCCAGTTAGACCAACTGTGATGCATTCATATGCTAGAATGAAATGAGATCAGTTATCAATACAAATATAGAAGTGTAACCTAGATATATGGATGGGAAAGCAAAATGCATAAATGTATACAGTGTTAGCATTTTTAAAAAGAATACACCTAGGGCTAAGGGTGTAGTTCCATGGTAGAACTTGTATGTAGTACCTATAAGACCCTAAATTCTATTCCCAGCACAAAAAGAAGAAAAAGGGAAATAAAAAGAATATATCTATATAAATATATAACTTAATAATGACAAATACACAAGAAATCAATAATAATGGTTGCCCAAGAAGTAGAACTCACCTTTCTCTTTTTTCTTTTAATTTTTTTTTTTTGTATTAGAACTCTCCTTTCTATTTCTGGAAAAATACTCACTTTTCACTGTATCCACCATTGTGTACCTTTGAAAATTTGTTCCTATTTTAAGAAAAAATTGTTTTTAGGAGGTTCAATACAAAACACTATTGAATATATTGATCACTCTTGAATATATTGTGTTGAAAGAAGTCCATAATATGCTAGTAAGTAAATTTGCAAGATTAAAACAGTATTAAAAGTAAAATCTCATTCTTTAAGGTGTCTGCACACTCACACACACCCTCCTCTCTCTCTCTCTCTCTATATATATATGAATTACTTGTGTTTCAGATATACATTTTAAGAACTAATTGTATTTCATATAGATATTTAAGAGCTAATTGTATTTCATATATATATTTAAGAACTAATTGTATTTCATATATATTTAAGAACTAATTGTTTCATATAGATATTTAAGAACTAATTATGTTTCATATAGATATTTAAGAACTAGGTGCATTTCATATAGATATTTCAGGACTAATTGTATTTCATATAGATATTTAACTAATTGTTTTTCATATAAATATATATATATATATATATATAGAGAGAGAGAGAGAGAGAGAGAGAGAGATGTAGAAAAGTATATGTTCCAAAATGTTCGTTGTAGATGGCTATCTCTGAATGGTGGGAATAGAGATAGTGTTTTATACATGAAGAGCAGCCTTGGCCTAGGACTCACACTTCCAAAGAGCACTAGAAGCCACAATTTTTTAAGTGCTTCCCTTTCATCAAAAAAGAGACCTTTTTTGTAGTGTTAGGGATTAAACCCAGAACCTCTCTCATGCTAGGCAAGTGCTCTGTCACTGAGCTACACCCATAGCCCCTACAACTGGGCATTAAACACTTAACTGCACTGCTTAGGGGAGCTTCTTGGTGTCCAGGACTTCGTCTTCTTCCCCTTGGGGCATCATGGCAATTTTGTGTTAAAGGAACATAAGGAAGGGTGTACAAAACCCACATCTATTCCTTAGAAATATTTCTATTGATGAATTATTAATTTTAATTCTATGAGTTTTATTATATTAAACAATGAGTACTTAACAGGAGAAAGGCATCATTCAAATAAAGTATTGAATTTTTAGTATTTATTGAGGGTTTATAAGAAAGCATCAGAATTTTCAATATCAACTGATTTTTGGTGTACAAAGTCTAAAAAAAGAACAACACAAATAAATTCTTATATAAACTACAATGAAAATACCAATAGCACTATACAAAAAAAAATCTTTATTTCAATTATCACACCTAAGGCAGTCTACACATATGACAATAGTACATTCCATATACATACATGTCTTACACTGAAAGCAGATGTGTTCTGCTTTCCTGGCCTTTTGTAGGACATATATAATGGTTTGTGTCTGCATGTTCCCCTAAAACCTCATGCATCATAGGGGGTGGGCTTTTCAGAGATGGCTGAATCTAGAATTTGTGATTGGTTCATTATCTAGGGCTGGGATTTTAGGTGTGAGTGGTATACCTCCCCTAGGGCAGATAGCCTGCATACAATATAAAGGAGGAAAGAGGTTTAGTCCTCCCCTTTTGCTGTTGTTGTTTTTACAGTCTTCTACTGCAATGAACTGTTGCCCCTCTACCATGCCACCCTGTCTTGGAGCCAGCCAATATGGACTGAAACCTCTACAAACTGTGAGCTAAATAAACCTTTCCTCCTTTAACTTTGGGTGTCAGCTGTTTTGTCTCAGCAATGATAAAAGTAACTAAGACAGCATACTTAACATCTCAGCAGTCTTGCTTTTTTGTCAGGAGGTTCTTATATTATACAGTGTGTACTTAACAGGAACATAAAATATCGATAAAATAAAGTATTAAATTCTTAATATATATTGTGCACTTAGAATAGATATCAACATTTTCACATCAGCTGTTCACCTGTCAGCTCACCAGTGTGCACCACAATTTTTTTTTTGCATAGTTCCCTGGGATGCATATTCAGCTACTATTACAATAAAGTAAAAATTTACAGTAGAAAAGTAAGGGATAGGACTGCTAGACCCAGTGTTATGTTCCGAGGTAATAACCACTTGCACAGTTTCATGCAAATCTAAAATAGTATGGTCCTCAGCTTTACTGCATTTGCATTTGGAGGAGGTGAGTTCAAAGCCCCTCTCTTCAAAGCCCATTCTTCCTCCAAAATAGATGGGTATATTTTTCCTGCATTCCCAGTGATGTTAAATTAGGAATGATCAGATGATACATGGAGGGAATAGAAAAAATATTTGCAGTTCATATCATAAGCTTACATTACCACCCTCAAAAGCCCCATGCAACACCCATAGGTTTCCATTCACTACCAATTTGATTGAAAGGGAAGCATGTACTTAAGTTATCTAATGACACTTTCTGAACCCTGCCAAGGAGGAAGCAGGGGGCATCTTCCCATGCACATTTCTTCAATCTTCTAACAGGAGCCAGCAACCTTTATCTTCAATAAGAATTAACAATAGGGGTTAGAATGTGGGTCTTAAAAATTACAGTATTAAAACAAACATAGTATTTTTCTAGATAAATGGGAGGAAGATCACTTCTGGAGAAGCAAGTCATTTTAAGAAAAAGAAATGGGCCCTTAGGTGATAAGATGGAAAATAGGATGGTTTTTTGTTAGTGTCTGTTTAGGTGATCTCTTATCTCAGTACTGACTTGTGTTCAGGAATGAAAGCCAATCTTACGTGGTTCTGAAAGTTCTATGGGGGATTTAAAACAGTTGATCCAGTTCTCATCTAACTCGGTTTGTGACCAGAATAGTGAAAAGAATCCAGTTTGTGAACAGAGCACCACTATATTATACAAATATCTATTCTGTGTCTGAGTGTCCTTAATTTCAGGGAGATCTAAAATCAACTGTTGAGATTATAAACTAAGTTAAACCTACATACAGTATTTGTACTTTTAAGTTTAGAAACAAACTATGTAAACTTCTGTTTAGGAGAATTTGGCATATTAGGTGTTTCAGCCGATTAATTTTGTGATTCTGATTTAAAATGCATAATTAAATAGTGATATAAACAGATTTAAAATTTAAATCCTATGGGCTTGGTTAACATTATTAAAACATTTCAGAGAATTTTGAGATATTCATCAGTTGTATAAGTTTAATATCTTCGACTTAGGAAATGTAGCACTTTTTAGCATATGGAACATTTATTTTCACATATCCCTTTTCAGCTATATCTGTTACTGTAACTTGGAAGACTATAAGACACTCTAACTACAGTTCACCTCTTAACTAGTTTCCCTTTGAGCTACTGTTTACCATTAAGAATCATTTTGTTTCAAATGCCACATCTTTCCTACCAGCTTTTAAAGAACTTAATGTATATTAATTGTACATAGAGATGGGATTCAATGTGATGTTTTGACACATGCATAGAGTATGTACAGATCAAATCCATCCTCCCTTTATCCACCTTCTAGCCCCTGTATGCTATGTACAGGTTTTTCTCATTGTCCTTCTGAGTCTGGCTTATTTCACTCAATATCCTTCAGTTTCATC